CATACTTGATCCGGAGGGTGTGGAACGATGACTGACGCTTGCTGGTTCCCACAATGATACAGGGTGAGTATGTGCTAAATACTTTGTTTGGTCTGGAACGGGTATGGAACAGGTATGGAACGGACACCCAGTTCAACATCACTTTTCATGTACTGCATTCGATGGTCTGGAACGGAGGGGTCTGGAACGGAATTCGGGGGGTCTGGATCAGGATGTGCGCTCGCCTTTGTTCCGGACCTTTCATATCGAGCGGTAGCCATATGTCGGTCAAGCTTAACTCGGAGTCCTTGGAGTCTTGGAGCTGGGACCGCAGGAGATCGATGGAAGAGTCCTTGTCACCGACCTGCTGTACAGCTGCTGGCGCAACATGATCGTGGCTGCCCTCGACTTGCTTTATCAATGCCTGAGGGGAATATACATCGTGACAAGTTGTGATAGCTGGAGCCTGGCCTCGGACTGAAGGGTGCGGAACTCGCGCTGCGACATGTCCAGCCTTGCTTAAGTGCAATCAGTGTCTCCGGCTCAGTATGCAGCCCCTCCTGGCATCACACGATTCCCATGTGCTCTCTGTTTTAATTCCCGCATACCGCTCCAGAATCTTGGAAGCTTCGGCGCAGCCCAAGCACCCCTTCATCTCTGGATGCATGCTCTTCTCCCAATCGGCGATGGGATTGCATCTTCCCCTCCGTTCCACGCAGAGGGCCATCTCGCTCGAGATAGGGGATCGGCCTCACCAACTCTCCGCCATCGTCTGAGTCCGAATCCGATGCCTCGTCATCCGGCCGCGTCCTGCAGTATGGGACCTCAGCAGGCTTGCCTGCAAGGTCCACCGCTGCACCAGCAGGGACACGCATTTGGTAGGCATGCTTTTCTGCGCCTGCCAGGCAAGCAGTAGCAGAAATAATTTGGCGACATGGTCTGAGCATGATCCTGGTATATCGGTTCTACGCGCCTGAGAGGTTCTCCCACTTTGACTTCAACCTCAACGTAAGCTCGGCGTCGTTGAGTTTCTCAAGTTCCTGCTGGGGCAGAGTGGCCAGTGCTTGTGGCCACATCTCGTTCATGAAGACACCGTAGCCGCTGAAGACCTGCAACCCCCCCAAAAAAATGACCTCACCAAGCTTGACAACTCCATCACCTTACCTCACATCTCTTAAAGAGACTTGGAGGCCTTGAAGGTCTTCGCAGGATCTGGGCCCGGCATGTCGACTTGTTCGCTTGTCAACTGGGAAAACATGTAAGTAGGATAGGCGTATATGCAAGCATAGAAGGCTCTGGGAAAGCTGCTTGCTTCGCAAGGTCTGCAGCCCGGGTAGAAGCTTTTCTAACAGCATGCCTCCGAAAGCGGATCTTACTAGGCTGCCACACAAGACCTAAAGCTTGACCCAGAGTGCCAGCTTGAGCACGTGCTTTCAAGCAGACATGTATTGATGCTGCATCATGGCAAGAAGCGAGTGGCGAGAGGCTTCAGCTATCCCCGTGTAGGCGCAAGGCGAGCTTGCTACTCGAACAACCTCTGCGTCTGCATCCTGCTCAATGACGCTGACAAGGAGCTGCTCTCAGTGGATAGGGCTGATGCAATAAATGCAGTTGGGGGGTTACCGTCCTTTTTAAGGATTATATGGCAGTTGCGTTTGTCTGAGAAATGCCCAATGCATGCAAAGGGGACTGGATAATTGGACAACGTGCTGCCAGCCTTCTCTCTGTCCATCGACTGCGAGAGGGACACCTGGTCAAAACTCAATAGCATGCTGTGCCTTACATCGATTGCAACAAGACAACAGGGGTCCGCTTCAGGGTTCTGTTGGGAACTACTTCCAAATCAGAGCTGGTGGTTGGCAGTTCCTGCCTTCATCTTCTTCAGCTCCCGCGTCAAGGAGTATTCCCTGGCCTCCGCATGACGTCTGCTACCCACTTATAACATCCGATAATTTTCAACTACAAAAAGATGCCTCTGCATCGTGCAACTGATTGCTCAGTTCCACTGCTTCCTGCGGAGCAAAACGCATCTCACATCACAGCAAGCCTGTGCTCTCAACACCGGTGTAGACTCACAAATTCTGTCTACTTCTCTGTGACAACGTGATTCACCAAGCCAACGTCAGTGTCAGATCCTTCTCGGCACTTTCCAGAAGGCTTTTACGTGTCGCTGCCAGATCCTGCGAGGTCGGGCAAGCAAGTTGTAGGTGCAATAAGGTTGGCAGCAACGCACCTGCCGAACCCAAAATACTGATTGACTCGTGAGAAGCTCTCCTGATACTCCTTCAAGGTCTTGCGGGTCTCTTCAAGCCTAAGTCGTCCACGGCCCCGGACACATCTGCAAAGTTGCTGCCAATTCGAAGTGTATCTAGCATGGTCCAGTGGAGGTCAAGCCATTCCGATTTGTCCTTTCTAGCTTGTTTGGACCATGCTCTCCAAACAGAACACACACTTAAGGCCGCTGCTCACGCTCCAACTCAGAGACCCTCTTCTTCTCATCCTCACATGAGATTCTGATGATGGCACGGTACGCTCCGGGTCAAAGTTGTTTGCTCTTTTCCCATTTTGATTGTCTGCCCACCATGTGAGGAAGCTCTACGCGCGAGCTTGCTGTGAGAACACGATCTTGCCCAAAAATGCGAAGAAGCTTCACGTGAGAGCGGGAGTTTTTGCCACCAGGTGGCATTTTTACCCAACATGTGCGGAGGATCCACGTAAGAGCTTCATTTCGAACCAGAACTTGAGGACGCTACCAGCAGAAGCAATACAAATTGGGAAATAATGGAAGTAGCCATCATGAGAATGACACTGCTGATGGTTGCCATTTATCCATGGCAACAACTAGCAAATTTATAGAAATGGCAAGAATTAGAAAACTACTCATCCTAGTGGTTGCAAACATTACAAGAAAGTATTGTCATAGCAATTATAACAGCGGCCAAACAAAAGCAGTTGCAATAGTGATAGCAAGAGCAATGAAAGTTGTGATGAAACCACGAAAGATACAAAGATCAGAACATGTGGGTGGTTGTCAAAATTATGGTCCCTTGTTGGGTACCCTAAATATTAGGTGCCGTATTATCATAAGGATCCAAAAAGGGACCATGATTTTGACAACCACCCATGTAGGTGCTGGCTAACACTAAGCCTTGGCAAGATTTGCCAGCCTGGCGTTTATTTTTAAAATGCGAGTGGTGGGGAGCGCATCCCCTAGTACGCAAGCGATGGACGAAGATGAGAACACGTTGGTTTTTGCTAAATCTTCATAGGAATTGGCAGACATAGGTTTTTTTTTTTAACGGTGGGGGGGTCGGGGTGGGGCACTGCGCCCCCCGCCCCATTTGCAAGAAATGGACAAGGATGAGAAGTGGTGGGGTCTTGCACGGTCTTGCTGAGTTTTGCCAGAGGTCGTGCGTGCTGTTGCGCACAACAAGGAGCTCGAGGCAGCCCACCTACTTGCAAAACATGAATGAAAATGAGAACATGCAGCTTCTTGCTAAGATTTGAAGCATTGACCTTGCTTGTAAAAAATGGCGAAGGACTTGGGGTGGGTGCCGACTCCGCTTTGCACGTGTTGCAGCACACGGTCTCAAATGAATAGACTTTTCATTTAAAGACTGCAGAAGAACGTACATGGAGTTGGTTTCTATTTGGGCAGGCTGCCATGACTTTAGAAACATCATCTGGAAGTCTTTGGAATCTGACAGTGCAGCGGTTGATGCTTGCTTACTTGGGCTTGCTGTTTGGGTTTGCTTTTGCTTGCTGGCTATCTGGCTGGCTGCCTGGCTTGCTCCTTGTCTGCTCCGCTGTTTGGCTGCAGCGATTTTGGGGCGGTTCCTGGATTGTGTCCTGGCTTGCTTGCTTGCTTGCTTAGCTGGCCCCGACAGAGACTGGAAAAAAAGCAATACTTCAAGGTATAGGAAACATGCGGCTACCTGCGCTTCAAGATGGAGACATGGCGAGTGGGCGGCCGGAGGCAGGCAGAGACAAAAAGAATTACATAGGATGGCAGTAGATACCCAGCAAGACATACGATAGTTACAGGTTGAAGCTGGAAGGTATACCAGATGTGCAGTGCAAGCCGACTCACTGGCTTTGCGCAGTGAGGCTGACAATCAGAATCATTTTTGCAGCAAGCTAATAGCACAATCTGGGGTGGCAGCTCCAAGCTCGTGCGTGGTCATTACCAGACTTGACCTGGGCAGCTGGGCAGCGGCGTGGCTGCCACATCTTCTTGGCAGATGCTAAATTCCAATGCTGCAGAAGAAATTGCTGGATGCGTTGCTGTTCATGCGTGCTACGCAGGGCCCTTACGAAGAGTCCACGAGCAGCTCTCTCACCTTCTTCGCCTGTCTCGGAAAGATTTGCAAGGCGTGGATTGCAATGCCGGCTTTAGCGGCCAGACTGCAGGGTATTCCGGGGCATTGCATACGGCTCCTCTGCTTCCGCTTCGCGCGCTCGCTTTCCCTCCATGATGCCCTTCTTGTCAAGACTCCTTAGCCCAGCACCTACAGCTGTATCACAGCAGTCACCAAGAGCCCTCATGGAGCCCAGCTTGTTTTCCTTGAAGAGGGAGTGCTTCTCATCTGTGATGCCCTCAATCCTGCCAGTCACTGCTAGAGCTCTGCACGGTGAGAGTCCTCCGGGACAGCTGGGCGCCGGGCTCCGCCTGCGCCTTGGCCAGGTCCTGCTTCAAGATGGAGCTCCACTTCTTTTCTTCCTGGCGTTGCAGTCGTCGACAAGCCCAAGCTCGGCTCCCACGTTTGCAGAGCTGGCGATTTTGAGACTTCGAGGCCGTGACAGCGATCTGCGCAGTCAACACCTCCACCTTGGCAATCTCCTCCTTTAGCTTGGCCTGGAGCTGTGCAGCATCCCATGTTTTCCGAACATCCGCGCTCCGGGTGATGAAGTCTTAAGTCCCCCTGGCCCCCTGAGCTTCAACAACCTGATTTCCTTTGGCCGAGGGTGGGCCTCTTCCTCGCGACATCTTTCCTCCAGAATCACAGTGACCTCCACCTGAGCAAGCGACTAAAATCTGCGAACCCGAGGTTGACCACGAGATGCTGAGCTGGCAACACCCTCCTGATATTTGCCTTCGATGCGCTTCACATCCTTCCACCGGTATGCTGTCGGAGAAGAGTCTGCAAACTACAATTCTCTTACTTGGTGCTTGATGGTGGTTGCACCTGCTGCAACTGCTCAATCTCACGGTTCAGCACCACGATTCTCCTCTCCTGAGCTCTGCTCTAAGGGCTCACAGAGAAAACGAGCAACAACTTGACCCTGAGCAAGCCGCGGCGATTGCTTTCTTCCGTGCAGCATCTCCTTCGTTTGCCTACCGTCAAAAAATCTGCGGGTCCAAGGGTAGAAAATTCACCTCATCTGGAGCAGGAGCCTGCCTCCAGCTCCTGCACGCGCGCCTTCAGCGTCTTTGCCTCAGTGTCCAGCTTCTGCATCATTGAATGCATTGGATATCTAAGGGAGGTGGCAAGTTCTTTGTGTTTTTTTCCTCAAGCAGCTCAACTCAAGCCCAAGCTGCGCACCACTTCTGTCTTTTCTTGAACCTTGCTTCTCTCCTCTGCAAGTGCCTGGAGTTGGAACAAGCACACGCAGCCCTTGCACACAATCCCGCCATGAACAGCCAGTTGCAGTTTCTTTGTCCACACCACACCGCAAGCTGGCTCTTGACTTCCCCCTATTGGCCCCTTGCAAACATCTGTGCCAAGATCATGCTAAGCTCGTATGCAGCACCACTCACGCTCTTTCTCTGAACACAAATGCCTTCTGTGTGCGCTCGGGCTACGCTCAGGCAGGCACTACAACTGCCATTCTGGCCCTGTTCTCCAGGCCGTTCTGAAGACCCTCAAGCTCCTCGCAGAAGTGCTCTCCCTCTTGTTGGTCAGTCTCTCAGGTGTCCAAAGTGTCCTGATCTTGGCGCCTTGTCGTCACTAATTCCTCATAGAGCTGGGTGAAAGTATCCTGAGAACATTATGACCGTCTTAGTGAGGGCAAGAACAAACACAACAACTTTTTTGGAGAGCTCGCCTCCGATTCCTTCAGCATTTCCTGTGAGTCAAGCCACAATCCGGGTCAAACAGACAAGCGGACAGGTGCCTTCACAATTCTGAGCTCTTTCTGCAGACCTGACATTATGGAAGTCAGTGCAGGTCAGACACGTGCAAGACCCAGCTCTTCTAGGGCTAAGGCGTCTGATTGTCATACGTTCGCTGAAGAGCTCGGACTGCGCAGCCTCTCTGAGCGCGTCGAATCAAAGCATGCGACAAAAGCATGACCTCGAGCAAGACATGGTCATACTGTCATACTGCCTTTGCCAGCTTTCTCTCTGGGTTGGCGAACCTTAAGTCTATAACAAAGTCCATGCGAAGCAGCCGAGAGCACGATGCCTAAGGACTTGGCTTGGCCTCTTTCTCCTTTGCTACAGCTTGCGCCTCCTGTTTGCTTGACGCAGGAAATCTTGTTGCCGGGGTGGAGATTTGCCATCCCCTGATTTGCCTCCAGGATCTCCACCTGCCTCTTGAGCTTGTCCGCCTGCGCATGCATCGCGCATCTCTTCCCTATCCTTCTCTTACTGGGCCGCACTGCCACGCCTCTGCTTCTGCCCGATACTGCTGGCTTTTTGCAGCACTGCACCTGCAAAAAATACAAACTGTTGTTGCGCACAACAAGCCCAGAACTGAGGGCTGAACTCTGCACTGAATTTCCGCACCTGAAGCTTGAGCGGCGACGTGCGGGGCAAAAAAAAAGTCGAGCGAGGGTGCTGCCACCGCTCGAAGAAGGAGCTCCGGATCATCAATATCATCTGGCAGGAGATCTTCTCTCCTGTGCTGCATCTGTCAGTGCATGAGCAAGCGACCCAGCCAAACAAATATGATGTGGACTGAGTAAGTGGCCCTCCAGAGAATTTCTTCACATTGTACCGCACGATGTGGGCGTTCAGGGCAGGTGGCAACTCAGCTGTGAAAGCTCTGAGGACACTCAGCGATGGAAAGAAATCCCACGGCATTAGCCCGCTTACATGCTAGGATCTTAAGTGGAGAAGGACTTGAGGGAGTAATATCTGGCTAATGGATCTGATATGAAAGAAAGAGGTGATGAGGGGCCACTGGCGACTGAGAGGCCAACGTCTTCCAGAAAAGTGTCTGCTTCCGATTTGGAGGGCATCGCCGATCGTGCAGTCACGGTGAGCTCCTGTCTTCGAAAATCTTGAGTGCGGTGACTTGTCATTCAAGTGGAGGAAGGCATGGAATCAGGGTCCTTATCTTGCCTTCATTTTGTGGAGCTCCATCCGGCCAAGGCACATCTGCCAGTCTACTGCCTTACAGGCCCCCGAGCTGGGGGAAAGCACTGGAATGCTAACATGTGCTAAGATGCTTCGCAAAGGGCTGATGTAAGCATGCTTCACTGCTTCAGGCTCGGCATGTTTGGTGCCGTGCTTAATCTCTGTGAAACAGCTGCGAGACAGAGACAGAGGACGCAAGATCGCTTTGCTCTAGACCTGAGAGTGCAAACAGGGTTTCCGAATGTAACCGATCGAGATCAGCCTGCCGAGAGCTGATGAGCTGATCTCAGGGTGGTGCGCTGCCAGAGCTTGGAGCTCCAGGGCCACTTCTGACCAGACCGAGCTGATCACGCTCTTGGTATACCTGACATCCCCACCATCTGCACACAAATAATGCGATCCCCTCCCCAAAGCTGCCTTGAAGGAGTTGCCAAGCATGACTATGTTAGCCAAATCATCAGCTGGTTGCCACACCTGATGCTTGATAGCTCTGGCATCTCTGGCTGTTCATGAGGGACAGCTGGACCGACACCCCGTGAGTTAGGCTTTGGATCCAGCCTCGCCGTGCAACTCGTCGATTGCACCCAGGACGGTCTGAACCAAACGAACTCTGTCGCAACCAGCCACACTGGATATTATGGACAGTCTCGTCTCGTCAGCTGAGGTTTCTACTTCAGGCTCCGGCCTCATACAAGGCCCTGTCGCAATGGGGCATGAAAAGCAGCAGCGGCCTTTCATAACAATTTTCTAGTATCCAGGCACAGCATGCACTCGTACACACAAGGCCTTCCATTGGGCCTGCTGGCCATAGATGCCTCCTGTCTCACTGTGACCTATGCCCAGCCTCTGCCCCAAGCTTTAAACGGGCCTCATCGGTTGCTTTGAATCCAAAGTCTGCGCCCAGGGCTCTGTCGGTGGCACGCCTGTAGTAACCCAGGTGCTTGGAGCGAGTGCAGCAGGCATGGTCGGCTGAGTGTTCGGCATTTGCGGATCCTCATTCAGCTGTTCAAAGCATAAAAACACATGCTTCCGAAAATGTCGCAGTCGTTGGGATCCCTGCCGCCCAGTGCCGCTCAGCGATGCCGCAAACCTCTGCGAGCTGCCAGGCCAAGGCCAGCTGCCAGGCCTCGGACGCTGCGGAATTCTGCGGATTTCGAATGCTGCGCTCTCAGAAAGGCTCCAGGGCTCCGGCTGAGGAGGCGGAGGACTCGGGAGACCCGATCCCCAAACAAAGCAGCCTGTGACCCCACCGAGAACGTGTTGCAAACGCAGCGTTCAGCCCGTCCTGATGGCAGCTGGCTCACCTGACACTCTGCGAGTCCGGTGAGAGCAAGCTGCTGCTCTGGTGATCTGCACACATGCGACAGAGTCGAGCCTGCAGGTCCAACAGGCGCACTACACGATGGTGTTGCCTTCAAGACAGAAGAGACTCTGCCGTGACCAGCTTGCAACATAACTGCCATGTGCAGAATTACCAACAGATAGGACATGCGTGCCTACTCATTATGTCTTCAGCCCTTATGGCTGACCTGCAGACCTTCTCGCACGGCTTCAAGCACTGCTACCCAGTAGCTGGAACATTTCAAAGACCTGGTGCCAGCGTATCGTTTCACTGCAACTGCTCTGGCGACCACACGCGTGGAGAAAAGCTGAGGGTTGACGCTCTGCTTGTTCTCGAATGCGGGAGCTGATGCCTTCGTGCAGATCGGACGATCTTGGCAGCAGATCAGCACGCACGACAAGATCACGACTGGGATTTTGGCGGGCAACAACGCTTGGATCGGCGGGGAGACCGCTGTCCAACTGTCCAAATGGCTGGATACATTGAAAGGTCACGGCCTGGACGCAAACGGCTGGCCTCCTGAGGTGGGTCATGTGCATGGCAGCCTGTGCCTGAACTGCGAGTAATGTTTTGCAGCTGGCGGCCGGAACAATTTCCTTTCAAGCTATTTCCTGACATGTACTAACTTGAAGAAACTAATCCTCTTAGGATTTGAGGATGAGGGTTGAAAGACAAATATTTAGGGATGCAGATTTACGGATGTGACATCTGCTTTCGGCTTTCTGCAGTCCGTTCGCTAAGTAGCTGGAAGCTAGAAAACCAAATTCACAAAAAAGGTTGGACAACCAGACTCGAGAAAAAGCAAAACAAAACAACGAACAGCGAACAATATTCTGGAAGTTATCAACTTGACAGACCATTCGGAAGGTCCAGTAACATGGGCGGCTTTGGTTTTCGTAGTTGTTGTTGGTTTTGTCGTCTTGCTGTGTTCTTTGCTTTCCTAATTTATCAGGTTTGGTTCGAACAACATGTCGGGACTTCAAGGCTGGATTCCCAAATCCAAAATGTGCTTGCGTTGGGTTCGTACAACACTTCGGGACTTTCCGAGTGGACTGGGAAATCCAGGAATCTCGGGCAAGTCTTTGCGTTGATTTGCTTTTCTTGGCCTTTCCGACTTGCGGGAACGGAGAAAGTACCGGAAAATTGGTGTGAGTGTGTAGGTGCGTGTTTGCTTGTTTTTCTCACGTTTCAATGTGACAACCATAACCTTTGCAATGGTAGCCAGTCGTGACCAAAATATGTAAATTACCTGACTAAGTTGAATCATTCAGTTACTTTGGAAATTAGACAAAACGAAACCAGGTGTCAGCTTTGGCATTTGCAGGACTTGAGCTATCTACACCGTTTAAGTGATGTCAATTTTACTGATATCCGTTTTGCAAGGTGCTTTACCTGTTTTCTGGATTCCCTCACAACTACCTTCACTGCATTCATTGAATTCATTTGCGGAATCTAAGTAATGCAACTAGCCTTAGTTCTTTGAATCAGAACGTTTAAAGTATTGTAATAAACCAAATAACTGGAAGAGTTTGAATCAAGGGATTACACGTAGGCCATTTCTAGTGCTTGAACAGGTGTCTTCGGTGGTTCAAACAACACAACCAGCTGCCCATTCTCTCATGTAGAGTATGTAGGTTCTTTATGACAATTAAACAATACAATTGGGCTAAAATCCATGCAAACAAGGCTACTCGTCGATTCGGGCTTTTCCCCATCATAAACTGAAGAATAGAATCGACAGTTGACCCGAGAAATTTTACATGTTTCAAATTATACGTATGGAGGGCGAGTTCGATTTTGCAAGATACGTGAATATGTAAAGTAATCAACTTCATTTGAGTAGGGGGACCGTTTTGTGGTCATTTGATGCAATTGGCATCTGATTCCTCTTTTTTTGAGAGACAACATGGCAAAGCCAACATCTTGAGCAAAACTACGCAGCTCTACACCCCAAAGCAGCCTTCGACCATGCTTGATTCCTGGAGTGCACCTTTAAGCTCATACCACAACGGCACCTCCAACCCCTACGATGGCCAAGACAAAGGAAGTCGTGAGTGCGATGCACACCCATGCGAATCAAGTCTAGTGAAGTGCGGGGGCAAGGTTGTCGGGCTAATTCCGTTATACAACGTCTTTGAACCCTTAAATGGGCTGGAGGGTTGAACATGTTTGGACAATTTTAACTACTAGAACTGGACAGTAATCATGTTCGATTTTTCCAAATAGGAAAGTTAGCAAATCAACCCTCAGCTCAGGGGTTCCAAAGGAAAAGGGAGCGGGCTTGTTCGAACATCTGTCTCGTAGCACAGACCGATGTTTTTTCCAAGCCGAAACCACTATTATAACATATTATAATATTCTATAAAGTACCATAATATACTATAATCTATCATAATATACTATAATATAATATAATCTACTATAATATACTATATATCCCCTTTATTCTAAGAGATGTTGCAGGCCTGGCGCACGGCGGCCTCGACCCCTCCGCGGCTTTGCTACCTGACGGGCGTCAAACGCAGCAAAAGCCCTGAGCCTCAAATGCTGCTCTTCTATGGGATAAACATTTGATTCCCCGTATCTGTCATCTACCACAATCCCCTCAACAGCCCAGTCACAGGGAGGTGTCTGGAAATCTGCATTACTGTCCGCACTTTTCAGGCCTGGGAGTCGTCCTCTACAGTGAGGGTCTTCTTCAACGTCCAGCGATGGAACATGTGCCGCTCGCCATTGTCAGTGTTATCATCGAGTCATCGTTTTCAAGAGAGTTTGACAGTCACTGATGGGATGGTGCATGCCCAGAGGCATTATTGGCTCTTTCATTCATTGCGAAACTAAGGTGGGGCGAACCGCACCACGGCAAGTGGCGAGTGCCGGCTGGTCTGACCCAGGACAAAGCGTCAGGATAAAAACAAGATGGCCCTGATAGCGTTCTCTCTCTTTCGGTTTTTCATTTGGGAGAGAGCGGACCCTCCTGCAAATGCTTCGACCACGGCGTTCCAGAAAAAATGGACTGGCGATGACTGCCGATAGCTGCACATCACTGTGGGCGCTATGTCAGCAACTGCATATCACCCTGGTTTTGAGGGTCTTCGGCTTTCTTTCATCTGGGCAATAGATCGTAAGCGAACCCAAACCCCGGCAAATGACAGGCAGGTTTGGCTGAAATCTATAGCTGAGGCAGTGTTACGCAGGGAGACTAGCAACAGCACGTTCCAGTGATCAGCCAGAAAACTGACCCTGGATTCCTTACTACACCCAGCCAACCGGTACGTCGGTAGATTCGAACGTTGCGTCCGCTTTTGCTGGGCGTTGGCTCATGGAACATTCACCTAAATCAAGGCAATGCTCCATTATGGCCGCCTTGTGAACGGTTTCGGAGAGATAAAGTTGCTCTGCAGCTGATGGTATGAGGCAGTTCGCACAGTGTTGGGATGTGGTCTGGTAGCCGCTAAGTTAATCAAGTGGAGTGCAGCTCAAGGGTTGAGCTCATCGTAGACATGAAACAACGAATAAGCAGTATGATACTTGGGGACACAGAGCATCAGTGCCGTTGCAGTTGCCATACACTGGCTGGTCTTGCCCCAACGGCCTGCTCTGGTTTGCGCTGGGATGCCGGATCGAAGGTGGTTCGGCGAAGAGGTTCTCGATGTCTTCTGCCCATGAGCCCCTGGACGCAGCGTCTTGTCATGCCGTCCGTTTTTGCCAAGCTGGCAGGGCCACTGTTTGCACTGCTTCATCCCGAAGAGTAGTAGTGTCCCCGGCAGTGGTGGTGGTGCTGGTGGATTGCCTGGTGCCCGGGGGCCGAAAAATCTCCCAGCGCTGCAGTAGCACTGGAGCAGCGTGAGGGATCTACAGGCAGGTTTTGGGGTGCCAGTGTTTTCGAAGATACAGAAAAGGAAGACCACAGTCAATTGCATAAAGTTGACAAAGAGGATTGTCTTCTGTCACCAACTGCACAATCCCCATAAGATGGGAGGGAGAAAGCGCCCCACACGTACCGCTAACATACCCACAGCACAGGGCGGGAGGGGGAAAGGTCTGAACGACCAAAACTGACTGCAGGTCTTGTGACAATCCATGTCAATAATGAAGACATGTTGGCCGCGAGGGAGCCCTCTACACCATAGGCAAGAGGGGGGAAGATGTCAATGACCTCAACAGAATGCAGGTCTTCATGCTGCATAGTGGCCGTCTGTATAAGAATACTGAGAAGTTGTTTGCGGCTAGAATAGCTTGCAGCCTGGATGATGTGCCCTACAATTGTTGTCATATGTTGTGATGCTATGAACCCTATGTGCGATCTCAAAGAAACACCGGTGACTTTGTAAAACCTCAACTCCGCTTGCAGACCTGCCTGCCACTCGGCAGCTGCATCTGATGCCATGCATTGCAGACTGGCTGATAGTGATGGTGGAAACGGATACTGTCACTGTCAGTCTTTGAACTTGGAGCGCATCCACTCTTGATATCTCTTGATGCTCATGGAACAATACTGAGCAAGACTAACCCGAGAAGAGATTGAAACTGGAGCTTGCTTGACGTGCATAAGCCTCTGCATCGCAAATGTCCATCCAATGCATAACTAATGGATAAACAGGTTTCACGCAAATGCAGCATTTCCTTTTCTGCACGCTGCCATCCCAAGAATCCATCAGGTGGCGACCAGCCTTCAATCGATGGGCCACGCAGGCCTCATTCTTGGCCACGACTGCCAGGCTGACTGGGCCGCGATCCCAGAGAGATCTCTTCCAGATCAGCGTCCTTCTCTATTGGCTCACCCTGCGTCTCCGTGAGGGCAGCCGAGACCTCCCGACCCGGCTCCACCGGCTCCACCGCCTGGAGCGCAGTCAGCTCCACCTCCGTTGACCTGCGGAAGACTGGAAAAGAAAAGTGGAAGAAGCGGGAAACTCTCCGAGCCGGGACCCCCACAAGCGCGCAGGTTTGGGCCGCGAGCTTTGCCCAACGCCTTCAGCTTGTGAAGGCTCTTCGAGTCGGTCCTCGCCGAGGGCCTGAAGGCCCAACGGCTTTACACTTTCAGACATTTCAATTCCCACGCTTTGAAAGAGAATTGCATTGCCAAGATGCTGTCTCAAGGGTAAGATCCGTAGGAAGGAAATCTTCGCTCTCATTCTCCTCTCCTCGGCATGTGGCACATATTTCAACAGGCTCGTGCAACACTGATTTGAAGCCTACTAACATGGATCAGAGCTGAATCACTTCAAAAGACTTATCACAGCCAGGCATCTGAACACAGAGGCATTTCGAGCGCTACAGGAAGCAGATTTGGCCACCTCCATGTTGCTCGTGGATCGTGAGGGGACCGGGAGCGAGATACTTTGCACCGCGTCAGGTTGAGGCTCTGTGTAGAATCGATCTCGAGCCTCCTTCTCATCCACTGGTTCCAGGGCTATGGATGCCACTTCTCGGAGGGTGCGACCGGTAACTTGGGCAGACTCGGGAATTTCCCGTGTTGGGCTTCCGATGGAAGATGCCGGCGATGCGTCGCTGCGGCTGTGGATCATGCCAAGGCCGGCCTCACGTCTTTGACGCGACAAGCGGTCGCTGGGGGTACACGGCACGGGAACCTCCTCATGCTCTGCAAGGGCACCGCACAAGGCTTCCTCGCCATCGAAAATGCCAAAAAAGTCATCGTTGCGGTGAATAACACCCGTACCGCACGGCGTGTCACAGGCATCAGCTATGCGAGCTAATGCATCTGCGACTGTCTCGTGCGCCTCGATGCGAGCTGGGCGTTGCTTGCGCTTGCAGAGCGAGCCGACAGGCGTACAAGTTTGGCTTGCCAGCAGGTCGGATGTGCGCAGTATGCCTACAATTTCCTCCCAGTTCACCTCAACAGGCCAATCAACGTTGGCAATGCTGGGGAAAACAACGACGAAGTCCTTCACAAGCGTATGCCCTGACCGGCTAGCATGCACGGAATAAGACTCAGCACTGGAGCATAGACCCCGTGCAGGCACAAATCCAAACACGGGCACTGTCCTTGTTGAACGAGACAGCTTCAGCGGCCACAGCGATCGCCGGACTGTGGAAGTCAACGGGCATCACCCTCCTGTGCATAAAGTCCGAATGGATACTCCATCGGATTGGGGCTGGAAAACGTACAGTGCTCCTTGCACAGAGCTTCAACGTATAGAAGGCAGGATTGTCAGCCACCTGAATATCATACCACAGTGCTGCAGCATATCAGGTCTCCTGCTTCAACTAGGAATCTCACGAGGGTATCTCCCAGTAGAAGCACTGCCATGCATAAGTCAACCTGATCGCAGTGCTGAAAGCGGACTTTCATGGCAGAGCACGACGTTCACTCGCAGGCGCACCTCCAAATCATTCAACACGCTGGGTGGGTCCGTTGGATCCTGTCATGTGCAAGTCCGCCAATCAGCAGGCAGCTCGTAGCAACAAAGCCTCTGTGGGCAGCAGCCGGTTTTCAGCTGCACTCCTTGATCCACTGAGGCAACTTTGACCTGCGACGTTATTTTGAACAGAAGCTGCAAAAATGACAAAGAGACGCCGGATGATCGCAGGGCAGGTGCCATAGCCTCCCGGACTCCCTTCAGCACTACCTGCCACGAGCGCCAGCTCAACGGCCAACACAAGAGTTGAAGCCCACCTTCCCGCTCGCGATAAGCTTCTTGTGCAGCTAGATGACCGCTTGGTGAATGCAAGCCTCAAGCTATTCGATCACAGTGCACTTAGCACTTTGGGATCTCCTCCAGGGCCCGCACGTAGGACCGACCGCACCTCCGGCCGCGAGAAGCGCTCCTCGCGATCGTGGACCAAGGCCTGTGCAAGAAGACAGGAGGGCGGATTCCGTGTATAGTAACTCATAAGAGCATATGGTAAAAAAAAAAAAAATCAAATGTTCCGTGACATCGTTGAACACCTTGATTGTCGGCGAGATCTAGGCATTAAAACTCCACACCTGGTCCAGAATGTTGGCGATGGGCTTGGCGATACAGTACATGGCAGCGAGCAGGAATCTGACCACAGGGATGAACCTCAGCCAGAGATGGCTTGATCATGATGTTACAAGTCTTAGCATGCAGGTCCCTGCCATGAGGACACGGTAAGCTGCGCAGGGCCAGTGAACACTGCCTGCCAAAGTCGAAATGCGATAGCAGTGCTTGGAAACATACAAAACGTACTGCCTATGGCACATTCCACACTCAGAATCGCTGAGACCAAGAATTCTGCCAAGCAGCAGATGGCAGAATCTCGCCGCAGATCAGTACGAAAGTGACCTACAGCCAAACATGCAAGGAGCAGGTCAATGTCTAGGACGTTCGCGCTTCTGGCGCTTATGACATGTCCAGGCTGCCCGCAGACAAGAGCACCGCAAAGACAGGGCTGAGCAGGTCATCGAGGAAAATTGGAAGAGCCTCATCTTACAATGAATATCAACTGTGTGGACGCCATTAGGCTCCATTCTGCCTCGTTTGCAAGGGCATTGAGGAGAAGCAGGGTTACAAGGAGCAAGTGGTGGTCCTTGCAAGCTTGCGAACTGGCCCCTTCTGCCTGCTGTGGCATGCAACCGGCTGCTCTTTTCCATTTCCAAGCACCCTTTTGCTCATGAAACTGATGGGAGCGCTTTCAATATGGGCTCATTGTCGCTTTGTACAACACAGGTGGCTCACACGATGCGTTCTCCATACTTTTCCACCGCCATCTCATTCAGTGTAAGCCCGATGCCTGCAATTAAGAGCTTTCGGAGCTATCAACGAGTAGCCACTGCTTAACGCTTCAGAACATGCATGGCCTGGCGCAGAACCAAGCTTGATGATGCCGTTTTTAATCTTCGGGGCATCCTCGACCCAAACAATCCAGTTCCCAGCCAGATGCGATCTAGCAGCTGGCTGAAACAAGATAGCCTCGTAGAGCTCTGCTTGCAAAGGATCTCGCTCCGGATCTGTGAAGGCCTGCACTTTGCTCAAGTTAGAAAGTTAACACAGCAATGGCGGATCGTCCTATGTCACAGCAAACAGCACTCATAGATGGGGCTCAGAAGCTCAGCACTATCAGTATCTTCGTGACCACGGCGGCTCTCACATTCTATCATGAGCGACCTGTCTTGTATTGCGAGACCCAGTTCAGTCCGGTGTTTGCATAGTTTGGGAGTTTCAAAAACAGCGCTAACCACTAGAAGGATGAGTTGCTATGTACCTTGGGGTGTTGCCATTTTTAGCCACGATGGACTCATCAAGCCTTTGCACAAGGCCTATCAAGGACTTGTCCTTTGAAAGCTTCAGGCGTGCGCCCTTGGGTTTGCATCCCTCTACCATGGAATATGGCCCTTGGCTTGGGTATTTAGGGCCAAACGGTTGCGAACCTGAAGTTGCAAACTTAAAGTATTTCAGCCTAAGGGCGCCAGCGCCTGTAGCCTTCTTGCGGCCCGGGCAACATGTGGCTTATGACAGCTGGCATTTAATGTCGTAACATCTGGAGTGCATTCTTAAAATCCTGCATGGCAAAGTCTTTTGGCGTGGGGAACAAGCAAACCTTATGAGCTCTGCTGCTTCACCCGCCACCTCGACAATGAGTCCTGCCGGTGTAGATGCCACCAGCTGCGCATGAATGAAGCAGTCGTGGTGTGGAGCAACCTTAAAAAAAATCATGTAGTATCCATCTAGACAAATGATGACATGTTCTTTGCGTTTCCCACCTGGACATGATTTAGCTCGCAGAGGGCCGCGAGTTTTCGGCCCTCCGTAAAGCCACCATACATGGTTGCATCAAACTGCAGGATCGATATGGCCTGCACATGGGCTCAGCTGTCCTAACCCTTTCTTTCAATGAGGCAAATACTGATTTCCAGTGTCTGGCAAAGCTGACCTGTTCCTCCAGAAGCGCTCTGCAGCCGTAGCTTGTGAATTCACCTCAGGCTCGTCTTTGCTCACTTGCAAGAATCTTCAGACACACGTTCAGAGCCTGATGGTGTCGCCAAGGATCTCTCACCTCCTGACAGCGGGATTGTGGTCCTTTGTGACAGAAGCTTCAGAAGGCGCCGATCATCTTCCCATGCCACCTCGGTTGCTTTTGTCCTTGAGGCATTCCAAAATCACATCACCCGCACTGCAGCAGACATGCTGGCTTGTGCTGGCTTGCGGGCCATAGCCACACATGACAGCCAAGGCGCGGGCTCCTCAAGCCAGCGCGGCTTGAAGGCCTTTCGGATCAGAGCGCTTGCAAGCACCCTCCCAGGATCTTCGGAACTCTGTCAAGCAGGCGCCTCCAACAGCTTCACTCCTTCGCAAGCCGTTTTGAAATCCCAGGCGCGGTTGACATCGACCATGAGATCCTGAGACTCTTGCACAAGGCAGCGTTGCAAGCTTGACGACATGATGGAGTATCTGCGAGCATGCGTCCGTCCTTCTCGTAACCAATAACTTCACGGATGACGCGCAGTCTTTCCATATCGTCATGTAGAGACAGACCACCGATCTTAACTTTGAAGCCTACGCAGCCAGGCTGTAACAGCTGCATTCAGAGCCTTTCTGAGCTGCAAATCTTGCTGAGCACGCTGTGTTGCAGTGACCTGTGTGGCCCTGGTCTACCATCATCTGCAGGTCATCGCGCAACTCACTCTCATCTTTTCCTTCCCTGCAACAACAACACCCGATTCATCATTCTAGCAGGTTCAGCTCACATGCCAACTGGTGCCTGTAGTAACCACACGTGGCATAACAGGGGACTTCATCTTTGAATCCCCCAAAAAGCCTTGACTTCACTGCAACGCACCTACGTCCGTGTAATGCAGGCCAACTGACAGCAAACGTCCTGGCTTCAGCTGAGCGGCTTGTACAAAGGGAGGCCTGCTGCCTCAACTCCGCTCGGGTCGGAGTTTCATGTACACTCTGTTCCATCAACGCTTCCCCAGCCTTTCCCATAATGTCCCAGCATGCCAAATCAACAGCAGCGCTCAGGCGGATCATCGCCTCTCGTGACCAGCCTTTCTCGCTTGCAACCTTCGCACGACTCATATTTGACACCAAAACCTGGACACTACTCGCACACTCAAGCAAGGAGGCGGCGGCGCCTTGTTGGCTGTAAGTCTGAAGAGCTTTTGGTAGAGACGTTCAGGTGCCAACGCATCTTCGCCTAGAATCAGGTCTGCTAGGCCATTGGTCCAGGGCTTCACCAGCGGCTCAATAGCCTGAGAACCGAAGCGTCCGAGGGAATTTTGATCAGAGGGAGACAAGCCAAGCCAAGATGCGGTGTAGCTGCTTGCCAATCCAAAGCCCTCAAGGCCCGATTGAGTTCTCAAGCGCACAAGCACCTGCCGCGAAGCACAGGCTGTCAAAAGGCAAACAACTCACAACTTTGTCAGGAGGTCATATTGGCTGACTAGCTTCGAAACAAATCCACTGGATGGCCTCATTACCAGGAGGAACTGGGAAAAACGCCGTCCAGTGCGGCCGTGGCAAATTTGGTCCACGCAGGGCAAAGACCTGTGGAGGCTTCTCAACATGGCGTGCACAAAAAAAGAGCAAAATTTGAAGATGGCCTGTAAACTAGCAATTCGTCCAGCCATGGGTGCTGCTTCGGGCCAAGCTGATAAGGATAGAGTGTGCTGGTGCAGACAAGACATCGGATTGAGTACTACTTAATACATCGTCCACTGCATCATCTCCCGTGGACAGCAAGTGCTGCTATCTGCGTCCTCTCCCCATCATAAATACTTCAAGCTCATGCTCAACAATAGCAGTTCGCATGCTGGACCTCGAGCTAAAACGGCTGCACACCTCAATACAAAGACCCCCTCCATGGCACAGGAAAGCGGCATTCATCAGGAATTCCTGGCAAGAAAAGGCGGAAAAGCAGGCCCACTCCTTCAGCAATGGCAGGATCCGCTTCGCGGCATCCTTTTGCTTCTGCAGACGCTCTCGCTCCTTCCAAGGCAATTCGAAATGCAATCCTGGCAGCACTAACCGGCACTAACTTACATCCCATCCTTTTCCGTTGTGCAATCATCTAAGCGAGCCGCCTGCAACAGATAGAGCACTCAGCAGAGGTTCTGTGCCTAGAATAACCAGCACTCTAAAGATGCAAGTTTCAAAGGGCCTCAATGATTTGCAGCTCCACGGGCCTTGCACCAAGTTGATGACAAAGCCAAGGTTGGACACTTACGTTTTCAGGTCTGGGCTCGAGGGAAACAAGGCCCATGGTGAGTCCAGCGGCCAAAGCAGCCTCCAGTCAAAACTAATTATTTACTTCGAGCATCCCCACCCTAGAGCCGTTATTGCAAAAAAAAATGTAATGTTTCCCTCCCCCCCTAAACTGTCTGCCTTGCAGCACTGCAAATGCACTGCAAGAATATTGCAGTTTGGGACCGAAGTGGCAAATGTTATGGGGTTCGGCAGTGCAGGGGCTGGGCAAGGACACTTTGCCATTGATCACTGCAGAGTTCTTGTGGGTTTGGGCACTGCAGGAATACGTTGCCACGGGCACTGCAGGGACATTGTGGGTTGGGCACTGCAGGAATACTCTGCGGTTGCTGTTGGCCACTGCAAGGATACTGTGCTGTTATTATTGGGCACTGCAGGGATACTCCGCAGTTGGGCACTGCAGGGATACTCTGCGGTTGGGCACTGAAGGAATACTGCAGTTGGGCACTGCAGGGAGGGATTCTCTGCGGTTGGGCACTGCAGAGATACTTGGTGGTTGAGCACCGCAGGGATACTCATCGGCTGGGCACTGCAGGGATACGTGGTGGTTGGGCACTGCAGGGAGACTCTGCAGTTGGGCACTGCCGGATACGTTGCAATTGAACACTGCAGTCAGGCTCCGCGCGGAGGGCGAGGACAACGTAGACTTTTCTAACAACCACACTGCAAGGGTGGGGAACAAAAACGCGCCTCTGCAATTACGCCGTTTCAAACTATTCCACTTGAGAGTTCTCCGCGGTACAGTGAACGCCGTGCTTGGGATCTGGCCGATATGATGCAAGCGATTGACGCGCAGACCTTCAGAAGCCAAGGCTGAAGCACATGGGGTATTGGCCCAGCCTCAACCTAAGGCCGGTACATGGAAGATGAAAGACATCCGCTCGCGCTCCGCTGCCCGGAGCTCCTGTGGAAGGCTGCGTGTCTTTGCGAGACAAAGGTCACGAAGGTGATGCGGCCATCCTCTAAGGGACTCAGACACCTCGGCACCGTGCGCCAGCGCCCAAAGGATGGGCCTTACCAGCTCAAGGACGTTGCCGAAAAGAATCTTCTCGGCTAATAGCTTCCCTTGGCCACCAAGGCCATCACAGCTGATGGTTGCCGCCTGCTCTGTGCCACCCCACCTCATTTATCAGTGGCGCGGTGCGACTTGCTTGCACAAACACCTGGACAACTTTTGCAGGCTGCTGATATCATACATTCTCCCAATTGTCTGCACAAGAGGTCCTAGCACGAAGGCATCTTCCTTGCACTCCAGGGTGTACTCCTCGGACTATGAGCTCTTGACAGTTCCTTCTAACAACACATTGTCTGAGTGCCGCACTCCAAGGTAAGCGTGGCTGCCATGCCATGTGCCGAAGGGATCCTGCGTGATGTCTCTTACCCGTACGGATCAACTCTGTCTGCCTTACAAGCCAAGCAGGAAGCCCATCTGACACCTGCAGCGGCCCGCAGTCAGCAGCCACACACTTCTCCCCATCGTCCATGTAGCCACGCTCACAACCTGGCTACAACTACCAAGTACTACAAACAGACTTTGCGCTGTCTGACAGCCGTTGATACGGCAAAGCTCTCTAGCGACTCTAGCGCGACTCTAGCGCTTCAAGCTTGTCATGCCGACTCTTCTCACATCAAAGTGCGCGCTATCGATCGCCTACCGCAGCTCAGGTTGCAACTGCATCTGAAAGAGCTGTTACCCGTGTCGAAGGTGTTCTGGTACTCCTTCCTGAGACAATGCAGAGGCTGAGCAGAAAGTTGGCAATGAATGGATATATGAGGGCTCGGCAAATGCACACAAACTCCGTGCGAACCACAGTTCCGGCCACCACAGTCGGTAGTGCCCTTAAAGTGGCAAACCACCTTGCCGCTCAGAACATCTGGAAGAATGCCGGCAAACAAGCATTCACCCTGTTCTTCGGCGCATGCAACCCACCTCACCATTGCTGGCGAAGCTGCGGTCGGCGCCGCGCTCACAGATGCACTCTGCCCCTCCAGCACAGATGGCGATGAGCCACAGAGCAATACTATTAAAGAAGGTGCTGCATCGACGCACATCCATGCGGATTATGTTTTCTGAGTGCGTCTCCGTCTTGGAGATCGTTGCACAAACCGGCCGGCCCGCACCTTGAGTGCTTTTGGCTTCAGCGTATGTTCAGCAACCTTTATCGCAGTCCAAGCTGCCCATACAGCAGCTTCGAGCAGTCATCTATGTCCTCACACCTTTCCATTTCAGAACACGCCAAGAGCATAGATGCTTCCATCAAGTGGACAGTGTTTTCATGGCCTAACACACGACCCTCATCTCGGATCCCGTCTGGGGATGTTGCCAAGGCTTGGCCGGCCACTCAGCATTCTTGGAGCAAGTCATGTTGACCTCTTGAGGCATCTGGTTGTGATGTGAAGCAAGATGTACAGCACAAAGCTTCTAGTATGGGTGTGATCCAAAATGCTTTCATCCCAGAATGTCTTCTTCGCGGAAAACCCAGATTCCTTTCGCAAACAACATCGCGGACTTTCGCAGAAGCATATTTGAAGCAGAAACCAATCATCGAACGCACAAGCTATGTTGTCTCCCATGGCTTGCAAGGCTAGAGGCTTGCAAGGCTTACGCAAACTTCCGCGGATCGTTGGTAACTTTTCGGGTGACTGAAAATACGCTTCCCGAGCATTTTGCTTCTTGCTTGGGGGGATGCCTTCATCAGAATACTGGCAGGGAAATGCATATGACCGCATGTAAGGAAGTATAGCTTGCGATGGTTCTTTAGCGAATTCCCAAATTCCATCGCGAATGTTAGCGGAAGGCCTTCTTAGTCAGCCTGTTGTTGTTTTATACAGAACTTGAACATGGAGTTTTCGGACAACTCCCATATCCATCACACAACATTTTGGTGCATGTCACTGCAAGACAATGTTCTTTTCAGCGACATCTTGCGGCCAGCTAGAAGATCCAGGATCCATGGCAGAACCAGAAATGGCAGCATGCCTGCGACTCGCCATCAACTTGATAGCCCCGGTAGCATGTCAAAACCTCAGAAAGCAAGGCAGAACCTGCGCTATCTAGAAAGATGCATGCCGGGACTGGCACGTAGACACCACCAGGTCGCACCGACCCTGTCCATTCTCCATGCTCGTCCTGAAAGACAAGCTGCTGACATCGTCTGTGCAAAGCGAGCAGAGATGGCTAAGACAATTGCCTTGAGCACTTCGCACATCTTTGCCTGACCAAAGTGGCGGACTGCATTACAGTTGGCTCATTGCTCGCCTGCACCTGATGGTATATGCGGTGCCAACAGTTAGTTTGTTTTTTGTTTTGCTGCTTGGCCAGGTTTTGCCCGTTTCACACCAAGCTTTTCATGATGTTACCAGAATAGGTTGGTCCTGTTGTCAAGCGACGCAAGAAGAAAAGAATCAAAAGCAGCACTTCAAGTAATCGTCGAAGAACTGAAACACGGAGATTACGTGTGCTCAGGAGACGACACGCAAAGGATGCGCAGCACGACAATCGAACAAGGCAACCAGGTCCAAGGTACTTCTTTCTTTCACAGACTTTTTGCACAAATCAATGGCATCAGGCCCAAGCCGGTATGGCCTCGGATCCAGCTGTCCTGCTCACAGATGTATTCCCGCTTGCCGATGCATTTCGGACCTGGCCGAAGAGGCGCACTAACTCAGTGAGGCAGCACGCCGTTATCCTCGAGCCTCCACATGCTCAACAGCAGCCAAGCCTACAGCCAATCGCCGCCAACAGGAAGTCTAGAGTTTGACAGCAGAAGAACTGCAAACTATCCATGTCATGCTACGAAAAGGCTTACAGGACCAAAACAAGTGTTCCAGAGCCTCCAGGCTCAAATGCCTCTGCTCCAGGCACGTGATTACCAGGTACAGATTTTGCAGCTTTGCAAGTCTCGGAGGTGATCCATGACGGACGGGGCGACGGACGTCCACAGTTCAGGTCGACAGTGAAAGTAATCGTCAAGCACATCAAAAGGTTAAAGGACCAACTGAGGAGTGCTGTTTCGCCAAGGCTGTTAGATGAAAGAATCCCTCCGCTCCTCCCCGTTCAAGGTTGCCTGGACCATCAGGCAGGCATTCAACTCAGAGCCAACTACCCCCCCCAGCTAGTCTTGCAGTCAGTTGTTGTTGTTGTTGGAGCCACAAAGTGGAAATCCCTGGCCCTTGTGGAAATCCCTTGCTCTTGACTTCGCCAAGGGCCTCTATGGATATCTACTCGCCGGTCTGGTCAGTAGCCAATTCGGGCCCTCCCCCCATCACTTTGGCAAGGGTGGCAGCGACTACGGGCAAACCTCAGCGGCTTCCAGGATGACAGAGTAGCGAACTACGAAACTAGACCTCAGCAAAGGGACTGGTGGCAGAGCCAAGCATCTCCACATGCTGGCACACCGTGTAGCACAGCCGTGCTCAGGGTGGACTCCTGCAGAACTGTGGACTGCCCTCACACCTTCCGGCGTGCCAGGCTATTGCGCACGTGTGCTGCCAGCATTCTAACGGAAAACCCCCCATTACCTAACTGCACGACCACGAAAACCTCTTGTCACCAGGGTAGCAAGAAAGGGCAACACAAGGAAGTGGCGACGGTCACCGCTGCCCCCCAACGCGGAATTTGCCGCAGAGCCGACGCTAACCCATGGACAAGACGCGGGGTCCACGCTTTCTCCTTTTGACAGCTTCGTGCTGTGATGGGGAACCATGCAAGCAGGAGGGTAAAACATGCCCTTCGCTGCACAAGAAGGTTTGACCCAAAACCTCAGCAGGTCTGGACGTGTGGCCCCACGTGCCCTCATGGACTCAAACATGACTTCCTGTGCAAGCATCCTTCCCTGAAGCAGCTTCACATGGGACATTCTTGAGGTGTCCAGTACAAAGCCCTTCCAGAAACTCGAAAAACCCAAGACAAGACCCGCCTGCCGGAGGCTTTGCAGCCTTACTGTCGCGAAATGAAGGTAGGCTGAGAGAAACTCAGGACTCCGTGGCCTTGATCTCATGACCAAGCAGAGCCGCAAGCACCAGGCGCCCTCTCCTTGGCAGAGCTGCACAAGTGGCTTGCAAGCACCGCTGTGTAAACAAGCATCATTCCAATCGCGTTTTTGGTGGTGGCTCTTCAAGGTGCAATTTGGGCCCGCACATGCTTGTTGAGGTTTAGCCGCCATTTCGGGATCCAGCAGTCATGGCGAAGCAAGTTCTGTCATCAAGACTGCCTCTGCCTCTAAGTGCAGGAGCTACGTCTTGCAATGTGCCTGGCAAGCATGCTAGACATGACCTCATGCGTGCTGGGTCGGGAAAGGTTCTGCTGGTAACTGGTCAAATCCATTTTACTGGGCACATGAACCTGTTTGTTCTGCTGAGCTTCAGAGAATCTGTGTGCCTCAAGAGACGAGCTTGCAGTGACCAGCTCTTCTGCCTGAACCTGACCCGATTTGATAAGCATGTCCTGTTTCCGGTGCAGACCATCATCTCCAGCAGCGCGCTTGGCTGGAAAACGGGTAGCTGTACACCCCTTTGCAAATTGGAGTTCAGAACTCCGAAGAGCTGGTCTGCAGAAAAGCCTTGCGATGCACCGGTCAGGTACCTTCAGGTGCACTTGGCCAAGCTGTGAAGCATTGGGCAGCCATGCGCCACATCTGCGCAACGGACCTACAGAACGCAACGCTACGGCCACTTGATTGGCTCGTTGGGAGACCGGATCACGCAGTGGGGCTTCGGGCCGTGCGCACTCCAAAACTCCTGAGAGGCAAGCAGAAGTCAAGGCAGGACTCAAGTCCATGCAGATAGTTTAAGGCAGGGATCCTCTGGCAGTTTCGGCGCATGCTTCTTTTGCAGGGCAGCCGGGCACCACTGCTCAAATGAAGGCAGCGACACCTGCTGCGGCTGAGCGGAGCAGTATGGCCGAGCTCCTCGTGCACATAAACTGGGTTCTCCTAAGCACCCTCTTCCTAGCTTCCCAAATAAAATTGCCGAATCCTCATCCCTCAGCTTCTGGATTCATAAACACAGATGCAACTAGGAATTGGGCAGTTGTCCACATCAAGGTATTGAAGGTCCTGGCTTGGCCAAATATTGCTGGTGATAGTCTTCAGCATAGAAGAAGACATTGCCATCAAACTCAGATGCGGCCTTGATTTCTGTGGTGATCGCACCACGGCCTTTCCCATTGGCTTTCAGGGCAGCTTCGTAAGCTGTCTTGCTGGATTCAAACAGCTGCTTCTGCTCATCGTCAAAATAGTACAAAGCGCTTCGATACTGCGTCCCGCGGTCGTTGCCTTGACCCATCCCTTGTGTGGGGTCATGGGCTTCCCAGAACCATCGCAAAATGTCCACAAGACTTATCTTGGTTGGATCGAAGACCACCTGCACTGCTTCGGTGTGTCCAGTTCGGCCTGAACAGGCTTCCTCGTACGAAGGGTTTGGAGTGTAGCCACCTGCATAACCCACGGCAGTAGAGTAGATACCACCACCAGGCAAGCGCCAAATGCCTTTCTCACTTCCCCAGAAGCATCCATTGGCAAAAACGCAAACTTGATACCCAGCAGGCCATGGGCCTTTCATCGGATTCTTCAACACGTAGTGGTGGGATGACACATCCATTGCTTCGCTTCGGCCAGGAAGCGCATCCTCTTTCTTCACCATTTCGTCTTTCTTTTTGCCCGCGGCCATTTGCTGTACTTTGAACAAAGCCTTGCCAAGAGCAGCACGGAAACGGAAAACACTGCGATCTCAACATGCAAAGTACCCATGGCGCTAAATTTGGCAGCGCCTGGCCTGCAAAATCTCCTGCGGGTTCGACTCATCGATCTCCATGCCAGCAGATTTCAGCTGTTGAACAAGCTCGCGAACTTCCGGAGGGAAATCCATGATGCGAGACGGGAAAGATGCGCACTGGCCAGTGATTAGTGGTGTGCATATTGACATGCAATTTGTTTACGTACCCTTCCTACAGAATCTGGACACACGTAGCCTGCACCAACCACCAGACGTGGTTCAAGAAATGCGTCGTTGCATTAATGGTCTGCTTCTGGGTTCTACGTGAAAGCCTGGCAAAGATACAAGGATAGAAATCAATGCTGCCGCCATTCACCACTGCTCATGTCCTATCAAATACTAACATATGCAGCACCCGCTGCCATTTTCGAGACTGCTTTCATCTTCGTCACAAAGCCGCTGCCGCTTTCTGCAGTACCATCGCAGCCTAGTAAGGGCTTAAGACAAGCTGTCAAACGGTCAGAAGTGGAAATCAATGGAGCCAAAAAAGAAGACAGACGTCATCGCTTACTAGCAAGCCATGTCCCTGTGCCTGACAGAAAGGCCCATGACTGTCGCAACGTGGTAGGCGCAAAGAGATCTGTCCCGCAAGGCCTCTCAGAGCAGGGTGAAACACGTGAAGAAACCCGCTGGTTGCTTTTGGAAAGCTGCTTTCTGAACCACATCCTTGTTGCGTTAACATGTCTCTGCAGGCAAAATGTCTACCAGCACAGCCCCGCTTAATCGGTGTCACAATATAAATCCTCATGAACTGCTCACTGCTTTCCGCTGCAGCAGAGCAAGGCTTCAGGCAAACACAAAGAAAGATGTTCGGTGGAGCAATCTCACTCAGGCTCTCGAACCAGGTTCAGGAATCTGTGCCAACTGATCCTGCCTCCAAAACTTCATGGTGAGACCGTTTCCTACGCACGCAACACGTCCAGGACATCTGTCCAAAGGTCCACATACCTGAAAGCAGCATGGAAGGCCTGGCACAGCTTGAGGCGTTGAGAAGGGAGCCCGCCAGCTGGACGCCTGATCAAACATAAAGCAAAGTCGTCTGCTGACCGAAGGACTCTGCGAAGTGTTCTTCATTGCCAGAGACTGGAGATCCACAGAGCCCTCTCACAGCCCAAAACAACAAATCCAAAAGCCTGAGTAATTCTACCTTGATATGACATCCTCCCTCCTCAAATTCTCGATTGCATTCTCAGCATGAACAAGTGACGATACCGTTGGTACTGGTGGTGGCTGCGGCGGCATTGGTGAAGGGGCGGGTTGTCAATGATGACACAAGAGGCGCCCAGATTCCAAAAGCTCTGCGAATTCAACCTTTGAACTGCAAAGGTTGGTTCTACAGGCGCAAAAGCGACGCACATCAGCAACAAGCAATAGAAAAACGCGAGAAAAAAATAAAAGAAAAAAAAAGTACCGTGCAGTCATGCATGGAAAAAAACTCTGAACAAGAATCCTCAAAAATTGAGCGTCCGCATGTCAGCTGCAGTGATCTGCCGAAATTCGCGAGCAACATCTGTATGCTTCAAGGCTTGAGGGGCATTGCAACTTTAAAAGCCACAAGCGCCTAATTCAAGCTTCGCCAAGGCGTGCTTACTCAGCACTAACATCCCAAAGGCAAACAAAGCGAAGCATCACAATCTGCAGCCCTTTTGCTGGGCAGAACGGGCCTTCTGCTAAAGCAGTGTTGCCACCACCAAAAATTCTTCCAAATCCCAGATCTCGCCTTGAATACGCTTGCTTGTGTTTCCAAACTACTTCGAAGTCCAAGGCATGCTTTGGGAATGCAATGCAGGTTGCTCATGGCGAAAAACTCGCCGGGCATCACCGACAAGCAGAACGGATCCACCAAGAATGAGATTCTGAAGCCGTCCCTCACCTCGAGAAACTCGCAAACAGCATTTTGGGCTGGGTCTCCTAACAGCTCGGCCCTCGGTGCCTTCTTGGCAAATGGCTTGGCAATAACTTCTGACATCTGAACGGAGACCATCCGCAGCCACGATTACATCAAACGGTCCCTGCATCTGCTCGGCAAAAATCACTTGGCAAGGTTTGCGAAGCTGCAACATGTTTTGCGGACAGCACTGGCTCGTGCTCATAGCCCAACGGACCCGGCCTCCGTGACCTCAGCATTTCCCCGCTCCCTGCTCTGGAAAGTGCAACATATCTTGCGTCCAGCAGGATCAGAATGCATACCTGGCACGCTATGGTTTATCTGCAGGTTGCAAAATTCAACTCTGCAGATGCCGGCCTGTCAAATTGTTGCCGAATCTTATTGCGCCAGCTGGCAAGCTTGCAGCAAGCCACTTGAGAAGTTCTGCTCGAGGCAGACTTCGTGCCTGCCACATGCTTCAGCACCCCTACAAACAAAAAAGACAACCTCAAGCACCTCCAGCCTCTTGGTTCTGAGTCAGAACCAGTGGGCAAGCCAACGTGCGTAATGCCTACAAGAAACTCAAAGCAAACGCATAACATCAAAACTTTTCCACACTGCCTTCATTCCCCGGTCTGCTAGGGGTAACCACCGGAGCGCTCCAGGGTCCTGGAATGCAGAGACTACATGTCTGGCGTGCAGTGAGCACCATGCCCAAGCGGTCCAGAGTCGTCGATTGCTCAAACACAACCAACCTGGATTTGCACCAGGGATGTCTGGAAGACTGGTATTTGGAAGCAGGTGCTGTTCTAGCTTGACGCATGCGTTTGAGCCTTCGTGGGGAGCTGGGAACTTGGCTTCCTCTAGCATCCTGGCAGGCAGTGGGTCAGCTTTAGTGCCTCACTGAAAGTATCTGCACGGGCGGAGCACTACTCATGGCAGCAAAGACCTGCGTCCAAGCTGCAGCGAAAGACCTGAGTGCAAACAATAATGCTACTAGCAGCACAGGCCCACTTCTGGACATCTGACAGTATTGACACTGACTATGTAAGCAACGGACAGCCCAGCTAGCCCAGCACCTATGACCGCCACAGCAGGCCCGTCTTCCATATCGACACAAGTATCAGAGTTGTGCGTGCTATTGCCAGTGTCTGTTTACAATCCAGCTACGCTTGACAAGCTTCGAATCGAGCAAGGGGAGGCGAAGGCGCATCACTAGCCTTGACGAAGCTTGTTGTCAACACGACTCACTACTGTAGCTCTCATGCATGATGCCTATTGCAATAATGTGTGCAATGGCTCGCATGCAAGCCTTGAGCAAAAGCGTCACGGCATGAATGAGGGAGGAGGCAAGATCACCAAAGAATCGCATGACAGCCTGTGACTCCACAAAATATCAACAACACCAGTAACACGTAATCATGTCAGCCTGACCATGCATCTCACTATCACGAAACATGCGCTTTCAGTGGCTTTTCAATCTGACACCACAAGCTGGTGACTTGGACGAGCTCAAACTCCAGTATGCACAAAGTGGCCTACAAGTCTTTCAGACACGAACTCCATGAAGGCCTACCCTGGCTGAGAGAAGGCAGAAGCATAGGGGGCCTCACGAGTGTATGTACAAGCGTCGTGGACAAGCATTGGATCTCAAATGCAAACCCCTTGCAACCTAAAATGCGCACCCTTGTCTTGCCCATGCCACGACTGAGGCCTAGCTAAGACGGTCCAAACGACCATCAGTAGATGCCGCGTTCAAACACGGGTTCGTTGCGAGAGATGCGGTCGTAGCCCAGCACCGACAAGTCAATAGTTTGATACCTGGGCAGGAACATGATGACCGCTTGATGTGGGCAAGTGCAACGGATCCTAGGCCACCTGGGCTATAGGCCAAGCACACCCCCAAAAAATGGCTGCACAAATTTAGCAGGGGCTCGGCTCCTCTGTATCTACGCAGAATTACAAAGCATCGCAGTTTGAGAGCACTCATTAGAGTCATCTGATTTGGCGAACTTCGCAAAAAGAGGACCTGGCCCACCCAGGGAGAGCAGCTCCGCCACAGCCTTCCCGACTCCGGGGGCCTCGAGAGCCACTCCTATTGAAATTCTTAAGGACTTCATGCAATACGCATTGTGCATGCGCCACCCTCCCTGCTGCACCCTGCTGCCTGCTGCAGCCCGTGACCACTGAAGCCACAGGCCACCAGTAAGTTGGGCACGTCAGGATGCCACCTGAGCGAGTCCCACAACACATCTGAGCAGTGCTCACACTCCTTCACACCCTCCTCTTATCGCCTCTGTGCCTCGGGCCCTACAACACCGTTCTGGTCCAGGGTATTGTATTCGTAGAGGCCCGCCCACGAGGATTCCAGCTTGATCGCCTAGTTCACTGGAGCGTAGTGAGACTTGGTGAGAATGCGGTCTTGAAGGACAAAAGCGATTCAGCGGCCTCGAAAGCTGGAGCCCTGTCAGCCAGGGCTGGCCAAATCACGTCCTCGACATTGATTGGCTGATCGGAGGGAAGAGAATCCAATTGTAGCCGTAGCACACTCAAGCTTTTAAGCAGGCGGTTCCTCAAACAAGTCATGGTCCACGTCCATGAGAGAATCTACATCACAATCCAGGTCAGCCTGTCAACAGACTTTCCCAGCCTCCACAGACATGCTGGTGCATCTGTGCCTCCGGCCGCGGACTGACGCCACACCTCCCAACGCATTGCCAGTGCTTTCTGCAACATGTGCCATACTAGTAGCATGCTCATCAGGTCAGGCCAACAAACGTACGCATCATGCAGACGAGCCGCAAGAAGCGATTCCGCGAACCCTCTGAGCCTGAGCAGCGCAATTGCTTATCAAACAAGAGCATCCGTTCCTGCCTGCACAGCAAGTGCCCGGCGAAAGTAGACGCCACTGGCATCAATAGTGAGCGGCGTGTTCTCTGGCGGACGCGGGTGCAGGCCATCACTTGCAACCTCCCCCACAGCCATTTGACGATGACGATGTCCAGAGTGCAGACTGTGTGGTTGCAACGAATGCAGGACCCTCCTCTACGCCCGCATGGAACAGGAAAATGCACCGCCTGCGTGAGAAACAACCTTTGCCTACAGAAGCTAATGGACCACACGAGCTCGAAGGCTGAGCAGGAGGCTTTCGGGGGACAACAGGGAGCGGCGTGACTTCACCGCACATGTCCACCCTCAGGAGGTACGATTCCAGTGTCACATCTTCTCTGAATCTGCTGAACACCGAGGCATCAGCACCTTCCCACCCCAGGCACCTCGCGCAGCATCGCTCAGCGCCACTTTGACTAAACACAACTCCTGGCCTGCTGCATTGACCACTGTCTTAGTGGTGACTTCGGTGCCATCCGACAGCCGGACCGCGGCAATTCTCTTGTCCGGTCTCAGCAGCATGAGTTCAGGAAACTGGAGTGGCTCCAGCGGAACTGCCTCCGATGCGTTCCGAGGCTTCAACGCCGTTCGCATGGCCGTCACTGACCTCTCCACAAACCGCACTCCTTTCGCCATTGCTCCTTTGCGCATGGCCTGGGGCGGATTTTCCAAGAACAGGCAGCTCCACAGACACCTTCACACGAGCCTGAAGTAGTGCCCATGGATCGAAGTAGCCTTCGTTTCCTGGCACGTCTCATCACTTTTCACATGTAGCCTTGTAGCCCTCACACTCTATAAGGATGCAGAAAGCCGTGGCAGGTGGTCTTTCGCCAAAGGACCCAACAGCGACCCCATCCGTCGAGAGCCACGGAAATCTCCACATGCCAGCGCAAACGATTTCAAAGTCTCTCACAGTACGCAGGGCATCGACTCCGGCACATGTGGAGCTGTTGGGTGCCTTGCTTTCAGCTCCGTCGGGCCAAGCAAAGTAATCCAGCCAGCGCCAGCTGAATGTTGCACGGCATTGTTCTCGCGAAGAGCGGCCTGGCATGATCTTCCCAGTCAGTAGGCTCTGACTTCTAGTCCCCTCCCATGCACAGAATTCAAGGCCCAACAACTTCACTGCAGGTTGCACCCTTCCCGAGAAGGGCCAGAGACAAGCAGCAAGGGTAGACAGTAACGCTGCCCCAGCTGACAGCTCACCTCTCCATCAGGAGTTGCGAGGAGGAGGTAGCCATTCTCCTACGTAAGCTGTACAATACTCAGCGTTTGGGCTCCTTCCAAGTGCTGAGGTAGAGGTGTAGTATGCCGGAGTCCTTGAACTGCACATCAGTGTCCACATCAACGCCTGTCACCAAAATAGGTCGCCACGTAACACAAGCATTATGCCATTCGATTCGTCGCGAGAAGGCCTTCACACATCCGTCGGAGACCGTGCTTAAGAAAATCAATGCCGTAGAGGGAAAGCTCCACGTTCACGGGCAGGGAGAACTAGCAAATTCCCACGACACGGCACTCCAAAATGGATGTTGGACTTCGGACTTGCCTGCTGTCTCAGACCACCAGCAGATCGAGGAGCTGAAGCGTATGTGTACTTTGCGTCTGGCTCGAACACCACAATCTCAGGAAGCAGTTTACTGGCACAGAACTTGCAGACTTCAAGGCTTTACGATTCATGCTGAAGTAGCCTCCTCCGGCCCTGTGTGTACGTCAGTATCCGCGCAGCATCATCAAACTTGCTGATGAGAGCGACAGGCTCTACTCCAAAGTCTAGCTGAGCAGCTGGCTTCTTTGGCACCACCCTGCGCCGCCAAGTGCAGCGCCACAGAGGTGCCGATGACCTTGGCTCCGCTCTGCTGCATGTTTGGGGGTGTGACAAGAAACAGTTCAAGACGATGAGGCAATGACTCCGCCGCCGACTACGGCCACATCGCAGCTGAAGCAAAGGCGCATCTAATGACATCCCCATTCTACGTCCCTTCTCCGCAGACTGAACAACAACCAAGACCCCAACACCCCCCCTCCCCCGCGACACGCTATGCAAAAGCGTGGAAGCTGGTTAGGCTTTCGTGACTGGAAGATGCGTTGTTCTCCGAGTGCTCACAGGCACTTGCCAAGTGTGTGTTTTCCCAGCCTTGTCGTGAAGCTTCGGCCAGCCTTGGCGAGAGCTGCACTGGCCCCAAATCTCTTGAACTAGATGCCAACTTTCACCCAACACAAATGCCGGCAAACCGATTCAGACCAACATCTCAGTTGCACCTGGAAAGGAATCATCTCTTGAAGATGTCAGGCACCTGGCCCTGCCAAGCACAGGGTTTTGGCGAAGCAGTGGAGGTAGCCGCGCTAGCCTTGTTAAAGGATTGAAAGATCACTCTCATTACAGCTGCAGCGGTCGCTGAGAAGGCGGCATGGGTCCTCTTACTCGTGGAGGCTGCAGGTATGCATGACTGGCTGCTGCTTGTCTTACACAGAGTGGAGAAAATAATGTGCGACAAACCATCTGGCAAAACTGACAAAGCTGCTGGCAACTTACAATGACTTTGTAAGTGAGGCTTGTTCCGACGCTTTGAGGCTGGTGATTGTGCCATGCAGACAACAGGCGTGCATCTGAAAAGCTCAGACGATGCGGCCAAATTCTGCAGTTTGGTCAACATCACTGGGGGGTCCCGGGGTGATTATGTTTGAAAGCCGGCTGGCTAGCTTTCCCTGAGAGATGCGATTCTAGAGGAAGTGCAGCTTTTCTGAATCACTAGTGCGCGTGTCTTGCAAACTCACAAGCTCCTTGGCTGTGGCTCTGCCACTACTCCCTCGGTCTACTGGGTCGCGGGCTGCTGGCCCAAGGCAAAATTTGCACAAAAGAACCCTTGAGTTGTGTGAGGTTCAGGCAAGTGTGGCTCTAAGTAGCGTGCGAGCAGTCCGAAGGAGCGTAAACAGCACTTCGTTGTGTTCGTAGTGTCCACCAGCGGTGGAATTGCAGACTCTCTCATGGAGTTTCCTGGCTTCGTCAAATTCTGCAGCATATTGCAGCATGGTGCTTTCGCATCCATCAGCCTGGAGCTGCAGCACTTCTGAGCTGCTTGAAAATCCCAAGATAAGAGAGGCAACTTGAGCCACTCCATCAGAAGACTCGCCTCGATACGAGGCAAGGGAAAAGCTCAACGAAGCTTGGCAAATGACATTGCATCCCGCGTGATTCACTCGGGCATGCTCGCCATTTAGCAAGCGTAGACATCCTATGACATCTACAGCGCTTGTTGGTGAAACCTGTTCGATCAAAACTGCTGCATCGTGCTGACAAATCCCACTGCAACCTGAGATCGGCAAGCTGGTGAATACGCACCTCCTGGACGTGACATGACCCGGTCTAGGCACGCGATCCCGAAAAGCATGCTGAAGACAACGTGGCAGTCCCTGCACGGTCGAAGCAGCCTCTATCAGAGCTAAGACGCCATGCCGGTCATTGCAGCTGCGGAGGCAGCTGCCAATGCGACACGCGAGGACAGTAATCGCTTAGCGCTCTGCAGCAGAAGCCTCACTGACTCTTCCAGAATGTCATCCTCCAGATTCAAATCTTCTTGGTCACAGCGGCTCTGCTGAATATGAGAAGCACTGCCATGTGTTAGGCGTGCGCCTACATTGCCGCCCCTCTACACCTGCAGCCATTGAGAGTCGAACATCGCCTACAGTCCCACAATTACAATCCATCATCAGATGGCTGCAAGCCTTTTCGAACCCCAGCGGCTCGCCTACAGTTATGTGTTCCTGTGCAGAACTGAGGGTGCGTGCTTGGGCTTCCCTCTCCTTCATCTTGCATGGGCCATGCTCTTCCGCTACCTTGCAGGCTACCCTTCAGCCAAGTCCTCGAGCTGCGCTCTGTAGTACATCTGGCGGGTCTCGTCCTTCCAGCTGGGCACTTCGATGATATCGGGTTCCTGCGTGAACGCACATGGACATGCGCAATGGATCGCGAACAAACAAGCCTTGAAGTGGACGCGCCGCGCTGGTTTTTCTGGGCACTGAGCCTTCCCATATCTGTGTTGGCCCCGGAAGTCAATCAACGGCTCCGCCGACAGGGAGGCTACAGGCCTTCATGCGGCGATGAACGAACACAGTGCATTGGGGTCTATGCAGAAAAACACCGTGACTTGTTTCTACGTAGACTCACGATAGACCATCTGCCACAGCAAAGGCTAGCCGCTGGGTCGCCCTGGCCTGTCGAACTCAGAGGCACTCCAGCCGAGATTTAGCATGCCCTCCGGCGTTAGCGCGCTGCCAACCAGCAAAAGACGCCCGAGGAGGCTGCGGCCTGCTCTCAGGCCATCGCCTCGAAACAACTCACTTTGGAATTTACGGAAAGTTGAGCTGTTTGATTCCCTGTGCTGGGCCTTCGGAATCCATGACGACGGGTCTCGGCAAATCCATCGCCTGCCTATCCTAGACCTAAGGTGCGGCTTCGTCCACCAAGCCCTCACCTGGTGAGCCAGCATCCTGGCCACGCGAAGCACAGCAAGTTGACGACATCATCAGCCTGACAAATGCCAGCGTCTGGAGTTAGGATGAACCGCCCTTCATTTGTCATATCACCAGCGTCATCCACAATTTTGCCAAGCAATCTGTACAGTGAGGGCATGTGAGCAGCCACCTCGGGCTTATGAAAATCCCTCCAAGCTGCAGCTAGACTAAACTTTTTGTTACAAGGCCTTTGAGACCAGACAGGTCTCCGGCTCGTGAGTATTGAGGTCATCTCAATCAGACAACCTACTCCTCTGCGCTTTGCCATTTGCCCCAATGCAGGGGTTTGTCGCAAAGCCGAAGAGATCTTAGAAGCACGCAGGATCTGGCCATTAACTCTTCATAGTCAGGCTCTTGAGAAGCTGTCCGAAAGACAACTAGAAAATTGCAGCTTGCCAGCGGAAGAGCCGTCATGAATTCTCACAACATGCCGCAACGAAAGGAGTGATTCCTTCACCACTCTTCAACAATATCAGCTTCAGTCACGCAAACTGCATCTGCAATTCGGCATCCTTCAACAAGATCAAACCAGCGCTTCAGACTCGCATCACCGTGTCCACAATCCCGAACGCGAATCGTACAACCTCGCCACAGAACCCGCCATTGAAATCCATGCCCCACCCGCTCCATCTGTGGTAGGATTGCAACTCTATGATAGAATATTATAGTATCTTCTAACATTGGATAAGATGTCATAATATGTTATAGTATATTGTAGTATATTATAGTATGCTATAGTATTTTTCCAACCCTCTCTATCGCCTGCACCTGGCAGGTCAGGGCACTACAAAATCAAAAGCTCAAAAGCCCTTCCCAAAACAGCATACACTGATGGCCACGTCCAGCACAATAGACAGGCATAAGCAGCACCCGCATGCCGTGCTCTAGATGCCGAGTCGCCATTGGTGTCAAGGCGGCCACCAGCGCAAACCGATGAGGCAGGGAAGATAGAGCGCCATGCAGGAACTCTTCCTCTGGAGTCTTCTAACAGTTGGTTCTGGGCTCCAAGGATACTAAGCTACACGAGGGAAATGGTTTAGAGGGCTCAGGGGCTGGTCCAGTTCGACCACTCGGTACAGCAGCTAATTCTAATATCATATCAATCCAGTGAGGCCAGAGGCCTAGGGCGTCTTGATCTAGTTCCAGGAAATTAAGTCCGGGTTGCTAGCCCCGCTAACCCCCTCCCTATTCTGTGTTTTGGCTCGTTTTTGGTGGTCAGGTAGGGGTCCCTGCAATTGGTCGGCTGGAATGCTGTTTGAGCTGGATGCTCCGCTTTCAGAGGACCCAGTCGACCCCTCTCAATCCTGAAAATGCTGCTATATGATATGCGGCTGACCTCGCGCTAGCGGCTAATTATACTGCCAGGCTCAGGACTCTTGTGGCTGGACCTGTTGCCGCATCCCGCCTCTTCGCAGGTCTCCTTTGCCCTTAAATGCATTCTACCAAGCACTTGCAAATCTCAATACTTCGCAGCGACGCGACGTCGCACAAGCATGTCTGCACTCGATCGTTGAGAGAGATTCTTGGGATTCTGGTCCAACTTTACTTTGCACTCTGGCCTACTGGCTGACTTACTCATGCACATCCAGCGAGGCACACTCTATATTCAATCAGGTGCTCAGAGGTTCACGCGTGCTGAGATGTGGAAAGGTTTTTCGAATTGGGCTCTGCTTCATCATCTCAACACTGTTGGACTCAACAGGCTCGCGTTGCGCACTGGACATTGTACAACAATTCTCGCAACGCGTAGTTGGAGACCTGAGTTGAATGACGGGGCAACCATCTGCTTTGCTTGCCTGTGCGCCTTTCTGCCGACGCCTGGAAACATGAATTCGCCAAGGCCCAGGGCAGCAGCCTTCAACTTGTTCCAACCCACTTTTAGATGTTCCTAGCCCAATACGCAGCTTCGAGCCACACTTGAAACACTCTTGAAAATGGAATTCTAAGCCTGATTTCAAGACTGCGGCAAGAGGCAGAGGCAGAACCTGCAGAGAATAACAGGACAGCTAGGAAACTGGACTGTGCGGTCCCGCCGAAACTTCCTTCCGGAGAAAGGACTTTCAAGAGTGTTCTGAAGAAAGCTGGCCATGTCTATAAAACAGCTTGTTGAAACCATGAGAACTTGCAATGCCTGCAACATGATACCTTTCCAGCAAGCTGTCCTCATCAATGTTTGTCTTCTTTCCCTTGTAGTGCATGAGGCGCGTTACATCCTTCCAGCACGTGACTTCGATGATATCAGCCTCCTCGCGCCAAGCAGGGTCAGAGGGCCTTCCCTAGAACTGTCACTGCTCCCAGTCACCTTGAAGCGCACACGCCGCGCAGAATCTGACGTACTGCAGCGGAGCGCGTCTGTGGTGGCTGGCCTCGCCAAGGTGCTACGGAATTTCTCTCTAAGAAGTATCTTACTTGGGATAATATATGGTAATAGAGGGTCATGTAGGGATACTGGAAAAGAAAATGAAAAATACTATTCAGAGCTTTAGAAGAGTCATACTAATCACCATAGTATATAATAATAGGAATAACATTAAACAAAAAAAACTCGCTTTAGAAGAGTAATACTAATCACCATAATATATAATAATTGGAATAACAGTAATGATAATACTCATAACAATACTAATAAGTATTAGGAAGAGTAACAATAACAATACCATTGCTAATAACAGTAAAGGTTTCAGGGTTACTTTTGGGAAGACTCCGAGCCTCGCCGGCATTGTCCTTGATGCGGTGTTGCACAGATCCGGAAAGCCCTCCAACGTGAGATCGCTGCCTGCAAGGGTGGACGCAGCATCAGCGCTTCGATATGCCACGAGAACAAATACTTGGGATAATACAGGGTTATATAGGGCTATAAGGGTAATATTAGGGCAATATAGGGTTATATGGGGATAATGGCTTATGGACATATGTCCTGGTCCTACTTCCCACCTTCACTGTTCATGACGTCTGGGATCACCACGACGGATGTCCCTCCCCCCGCGCACCTGACCCTGTGAGCTCGGCCACAACGCAGAAGCAAGCATGTTTGAGACGATCGGTTTCATTGATCATAGCATGACACGGCTTGTTGCGAAGTAGAGTCTTGCTTGTCACATTGCTCGACGCGCAGGCTGCTTTTCTGGAGGCTATGAAAATCGGAAGCTTTCGTCATAAGTCTGGCAGGAAGCTTGTGCAAGGTTGCCCTGGCCTACATCAGCCAAAGTCTTCCAATCCAGCTAACTGCACAAGTACAGACATTGCTCTGCACAGCAACATGCTTGAATTATGAGCGGAAGCTAGCCACGGATAGTGGTTCAGTCCACACCTGTTTGCACCTAGGGCCTGTTCTAGGACTCGTTGCGAAAGAGCAACAAATACAAGTGCAAATCATTGTAAGAGATAAGGGAATAGCCGCAGTCACCATCCGTGCCTGCCTTCATGGAGAACCGCTGTGGAAAATTGCTAGGGTTCGCTCTCAGCCAGTGCCACATCCTCGACCTCCTCCTGAGTGCCCGCACTACGCAGCGCTTCCACAATGAGTTTTCGGCCAAGCCTTACTGAACATTGCAAGTGTGTGCCCCCCCTACATGCATGTTGACTCAATTACCTGGCACTTGCAAGTCAATTGGCAGAGACAGGCGCTTGGGTCACTTAGTATGTCATCTGCAGGTGATTTTGAATGTAGCTGAGTGCAGAGCTTTGTTCAAGTAAAGTCTGCTCAACAGTGCTCAAGAACAGTACATCCCGAGATATAACACAAGATGAGGAATTTGAGCTCTTTACAGAGCATGGCTTCCAGAGGCATGAGCGACTTCCTCTTTTCATTCAATTCTCGTTGAATTATGTGTGACACTTGCAAGTTTTGCCTGCTGCAAATCCTGCGCATACTCCAGTCGCAGAATTTTTGTAGTGTGCAATCCTATTGCTGAAGCTTCAAAATCTGCCTCTACAGAAGGGTTTAAGCTACTCGGATGGTATAGGAGAGTAGCAGGGCAAACATCGCTGACCTATTATCCGCAAACTACATGAATTTGCCGTAATTTGACTTTTCTCCCGGCAGATTCTTGGTTGCTCATATTGCCTTTGGCAAGCGCAAGTAATGTGGGAATGCTTTTGAAGATCAGGGTTGAAAGGCTTTTTAATGTCCGAAGGCAGGGTGCCTTTTTTAACCCGAAGCAATCCAATACAAAGTCCCTATATAGTACATATATATAGAGTAGCTTGCATTCAATTTTCCATGTGATTCTCCATTATTGTCCCCACCACTACACTCTGGGCATGGCAGATTATTGGAACCTTGCAGCACAGGGTTTAGGGGTTAAGGGCTCATAAGCGGGCTTCCAGCCTGCAAACCTGCATCTCACTGAAATTTGATCTCTCCACAAACAGAACAATACATACAAACGCAAAAGAATATGCGTGCAAGAAAAGCTTTTCCGCGGCATTCATTGAACGCACATGTGTTAAGGTTGTGCAGTTAGGAAAGGAACGTGTTCAACACATGGGTTCACAGCATTTGCAAAGATCATTGAAACACATTTAAGGTTGTTCCAAAGCGAAATGTTTATCAAATGCGCGTTCAGTGCATTCCATGGTAAAAATATGTTAAACAGGTATTGCGGTTTCTGGTGTATCTCGTTGTCCCGAAATTTCGTAAGAAGACAAGAAAAGCCTTGCGTCTTTTTAGGCGGTCAGTGTGCTGAGTTTAAGCTTATTGGTACATTTGTGCCGGAGTTGTGTTCAGAAATGTCTGGAGGACATCTGTTTGGGGGCTTTTGCCTTCACAGTACAAACTGGTTTCCGTTCAATTTCACGACCCATACCAACTGGTCACGTAGCCTGCTATGGTCCATAATATCAGTAAAAAGAATAATAGTCATCATCATTGTACGAAATTCGAACAATACTAATAACACCTGTAATAATAGTAGGGATGAGTCTGGATTTTGATAT